TCCAACATATCGTATTCCATGTTCTATCACCGTGGCGACAGCTGTTATGTCATAAAGTTGGCCAGAGTATATATGCCTGGACTTGAACTGAAAAACTTCATTCTAGACTGAATCTCACAGCGAGAGACATGTACCAAAACGGCAGAAAAAACAACTATCCAACCATGAGGGCAACGGCTCAGGCTACCGCAGGGGGTGCCTCTCCTCTACCCGAGGAGAGCCCACTTGTGAAGGACCTGAGACGGCGACTTCAGGAGGTCCAACGAGCCCATCAAGACCAACTCCAAGTCAATGCTAAACAGACAAGGAGACTGAGAGAGTTAGAGGAGGTGTTACAGCAGAAAGTAAACCTCGAGAAGAAGTTTGAGGAGCTCCAGAAAGAGCTGAGCCAAGCTCGAGAGGAAAAGGAGGCAATGATAGAGTTTGGGGAATATCTGCTCGAAGAAAAAGACAAGGAAAGAGATCAAATGTTAAAGAAGGGTAGACAGATGGTAAACCAGTATGTGGAGGGCCTCTACCAGGACAACGAAAATCTTAAGAGGTTCTCCCAAGAACAGCAGAGTCTCGCCAGCAAAAACCAAGAAAAGGTGAAGCAGCTGGAACAACAACTGAAACTGCAGAAACTGCAGAAGGCAAACAGACACTACTATAACTCTGACCTCTTTGAGGAGCTAAAGTCTGCCCAAAACACCGTCAAGAACTTGAAGGTGACCAGTATGAAGAACACACAGGAACTTGAAGAGTGTATAGAGCAGAACAGGGCGCTGAAGAATACTCTTCAGGAGCTCCAGAGAACCCACCAGGAACAACTCCACATCAGTCGAAAACAGACATGGAGACTGAGGGAGTTACAGCAGGTGGTTCAGGAGAACGAAGCCCTCCAAAAGAAGCAGGCTCTCCAGAGGACTATCGAGGAGCTGAACACGACTCTGAAACACAGTGAGCAGGAGAAAACCTCTGCTCTCCTCAGATGTGAAGAGCTGCAGCTGTCCCTGCCCAAGTCAGATGATCAGCTGCAGCAGATCAAAGTCAAAGCGGAGGAGCTCCAAGTCCAAGTGTACTATAAAAACAAGAAGAAGAAGAAGAGGAGGAGCTGTTTAGGTGGTGACAGTCATCAGTCTCCAGTCTGAATCCTGTGTCTGTGTATCACCACACACAGGTCCTGTAAATACATTGTAAATAAAGAAGTAATTTAGCAATTTCAAATAAGTCTGAATGTTTTTGTTTTTTAATACAGATTGTTTAGAATCCAGAGCAACACATGGCAAATAAGCTCTGCCCATATTTTTGGGAGACTTTTTATTATTTTCCCTCAACTTTTCAAATTGAAATTGACTACAAACTCACCTACACACTGTATTTGACCACTTCATACTTTTCATCTAGCGAGCTTTTCATATAGCTAACTCTAAGTGTTCAGTTAGTCTGTCCCAGGGCAACTGTGGCTACAGACGCCTTCCGCCACCTAAGTGCAGGAAGCTGTATTTGTTTCCATGTGTCACTCTGCATCGTGGATCTGCTTCAAAAGGTCCATGTGAGTTTAGAACAAGGATGGGCAAACGTTTTGACTCGTGGGTCACAAAGGTTCTAAAATTTGACAGAAGGGCCGGACCAGGAGCTGATTTTTTGTTAATCCACCTCATAAAAGAAAAAAAAAAAAAAAAAACTATGGCTAGGCTATGTCGAAAACATATCCCATGTTATTGAAATATCCCATAATTGGAAATCATTACAACAAAATATGTGTCTTTCAAGTGTCACGGTATTTACTATTTACTGAAATGACTTTTAAAACACTGAAAATGATGATTATTATTACTTATAATTCAAGTTGGGAGGGCCGGATTAAAAAGATTAAAGGGCTGCATATGGCCCCCGGGCCGTAGTTTGCCCACCCCTGGGTTAGAAAGTATGGCTTGTCCTCATAGCAAAAATATGACAATAACTGACAATGATTAATATAAAAGTTCTCCCCGTTAGCAGCGCATTACATACGTCACCACCAAATAGCAGCAACTGGTTCATTTAAAAAAAGTACCATCCTACCAATCAGAACTCTTGCCCTTAGGGCAAATTATGAAATGTGTCTGTCATTTTCAATAATGTATATATAAAATATAAATATATAAGTTATTTTAAATTTAATACAATTTTTGTCCTCTCTGGGTGGGTGGAGAGTCCGTGCCTGAAGTGGAGGAGTTCAAGTATCTCAGGGTCTAGTTCACGAGTGAGGGGAGGATATCGGTGCAGAGTCTGCAGTGATGCGGTCACTGTATTGGACCGTTGTGGTGAAGCTGAGACGAAAGGCAAAGCTCTCGATTTACCGTATATATATATATATATATATATATATATATATATATATATATATATATATATATATATATATCAGTCCCTGACAAAAGTCTTGTCTGTCTCCATGGTAACAACTCAACATTCCAACATATCGTATTCCATGTTCTATCACCGTGGCGACAGCTGTTATGTCATAAAGTTGGCCAGAGTATATATGCCTGGACTTGAACTGAAAAACTTCATTCTAGACTGAATCTCACAGCGAGAGACATGTACCAAAACGGCAGAAAAAACAACTATCCAACCATGAGGGCAACGGCTCAGGCTACCGCAGGGGGTGCCTCTCCTCTACCCGAGGAGAGCCCACTTGTGAAGGACCTGAGACGGCGACTTCAGGAGGTCCAACGAGCCCATCAAGACCAACTCCAAGTCAATGCTAAACAGACAAGGAGACTGAGAGAGTTAGAGGAGGTGTTACAGCAGAAAGTAAACCTCGAGAAGAAGTTTGAGGAGCTCCAGAAAGAGCTGAGCCAAGCTCGAGAGGAAAAGGAGGCAATGATAGAGTTTGGGGAATATCTGCTCGAAGAAAAAGACAAGGAAAGAGATCAAATGTTAAAGAAGGGTAGACAGATGGTAAACCAGTATGTGGAGGGCCTCTACCAGGACAACGAAAATCTTAAGAGGTTCTCCCAAGAACAGCAGAGTCTCGCCAGCAAAAACCAAGAAAAGGTGAAGCAGCTGGAACAACAACTGAAACTGCAGAAGGCAAACAGACACTACTATAACTCTGACCTCTTTGAGGAGCTAAAGTCTGCCCAAAACACCGTCAAGAACTTGAAGGTGACCAGTATGAAGAACACACAGGAACTTGAAGAGTGTATAGAGCAGAACAGGGCGCTGAAGAATACTCTTCAGGAGCTCCAGAGAACCCACCAGGAACAACTCCACATCAGTCGAAAACAGACATGGAGACTGAGGGAGTTACAGCAGGTGGTTCAGGAGAACGAAGCCCTCCAAAAGAAGCAGGCTCTCCAGAGGACTATCGAGGAGCTGAACACGACTCTGAAACACAGTGAGCAGGAGAAAACCTCTGCTCTCCTCAGATGTGAAGAGCTGCAGCTGTCCCTGCCCAAGTCAGATGATCAGCTGCAGCAGATCAAAGTCAAAGCGGAGGAGCTCCAAGTCCAAGTGTACTATAAAAACAAGAAGAAGAAGAAGAGGAGGAGCTGTTTAGGTGGTGACAGTCATCAGTCTCCAGTCTGAATCCTGTGTCTGTGTATCACCACACACAGGTCCTGTAAATACATTGTAAATAAAGAAGTAATTTAGCAATTTCAAATAAGTCTGAATGTTTTTGTTTTTTAATACAGATTGTTTAGAATCCAGAGCAACACATGGCAAATAAGCTCTGCCCATATTTTTGGGAGACTTTTTATTATTTTCCCTCAACTTTTCAAATTGAAATTGACTACAAACTCACCTACACACTGTATTTGACCACTTCATACTTTTCATCTAGCGAGCTTTTCATATAGCTAACTCTAAGTGTTCAGTTAGTCTGTCCCAGGGCAACTGTGGCTACAGACGCCTTCCGCCACCTAAGTGCAGGAAGCTGTATTTGTTTCCATGTGTCACTCTGCATCGTGGATCTGCTTCAAAAGGTCCATGTGAGTTTAGAACAAGGATGGGCAAACGTTTTGACTCGTGGGTCACAAAGGTTCTAAAATTTGACAGAAGGGCCGGACCAGGAGCTGATTTTTTGTTAATCCACCTCATAAAAGAAAAAAAAAAAAAAAAAAAACTATGGCTAGGCTATGTCGAAAACATATCCCATGTTATTGAAATATCCCATAATTGGAAATCATTACAACAAAATATGTGTCTTTCAAGTGTCACGGTATTTACTATTTACTGAAATGACTTTTAAAACACTGAAAATGATGATTATTATTACTTATAATTCAAGTTGGGAGGGCCGGATTAAAAAGATTAAAGGGCTGCATATGGCCCCCGGGCCGTAGTTTGCCCACCCCTGGGTTAGAAAGTATGGCTTGTCCTCATAGCAAAAATATGACAATAACTGACAATGATTAATATAAAAGTTCTCCCCGTTAGCAGCGCATTACATACGTCACCACCAAATAGCAGCAACTGGTTCATTTAAAAAAAGTACCATCCTACCAATCAGAACTCTTGCCCTTAGGGCAAATTATGAAATGTGTCTGTCATTTTCAATAATGTATATATAAATATAAATATATAAGTTATTTTAAATTTAATACAATTTTTGTCCTCTCTGGGTGGGTGGAGAGTCCGTGCCTGAAGTGGAGGAGTTCAAGTATCTCAGGGTCTAGTTCACGAGTGAGGGGAGGATATCGGTGCAGAGTCTGCAGTGATGCGGTCACTGTATTGGACCGTTGTGGTGAAGCTGAGACGAAAGGCAAAGCTCTCGATTTACCGTATATATATATATATATATATATATATATATATATATATATATATATATATATATATATATATATAGTCCCTGACAAAAGTCTTGTCTGTCTCCATGGTAACAACTCAACATTCCAACATATCGTATTCCATGTTCTATCACCGTGGCGACAGCTGTTATGTCATAAAGTTGGCCAGAGTATATATGCCTGGACTTGAACTGAAAAACTTCATTCTAGACTGAATCTCACAGCGAGAGACATGTACCAAAACGGCAGAAAAAACAACTATCCAACCATGAGGGCAACGGCTCAGGCTACCGCAGGGGGTGCCTCTCCTCTACCCGAGGAGAGCCCACTTGTGAAGGACCTGAGACGGCGACTTCAGGAGGTCCAACGAGCCCATCAAGACCAACTCCAAGTCAATGCTAAACAGACAAGGAGACTGAGAGAGTTAGAGGAGGTGTTACAGCAGAAAGTAAACCTCGAGAAGAAGTTTGAGGAGCTCCAGAAAGAGCTGAGCCAAGCTCGAGAGGAAAAGGAGGCAATGATAGAGTTTGGGGAATATCTGCTCGAAGAAAAAGACAAGGAAAGAGATCAAATGTTAAAGAAGGGTAGACAGATGGTAAACCAGTATGTGGAGGGCCTCTACCAGGACAACGAAAATCTTAAGAGGTTCTCCCAAGAACAGCAGAGTCTCGCCAGCAAAAACCAAGAAAAGGTGAAGCAGCTGGAACAACAACTGAAACTGCAGAAGGCAAAACAGACACTACTATAACTCTGACCTCTTTGAGGAGCTAAAGTCTGCCCAAAACACCGTCAAGAACTTGAAGGTGACCAGTATGAAGAACACACAGGAACTTGAAGAGTGTATAGAGCAGAACAGGGCGCTGAAGAATACTCTTCAGGAGCTCCAGAGAACCCACCAGGAACAACTCCACATCAGTCGAAAACAGACATGGAGACTGAGGGAGTTACAGCAGGTGGTTCAGGAGAACGAAGCCCTCCAAAAGAAGCAGGCTCTCCAGAGGACTATCGAGGAGCTGAACACGACTCTGAAACACAGTGAGCAGGAGAAAACCTCTGCTCTCCTCAGATGTGAAGAGCTGCAGCTGTCCCTGCCCAAGTCAGATGATCAGCTGCAGCAGATCAAAGTCAAAGCGGAGGAGCTCCAAGTCCAAGTGTACTATAAAAACAAGAAGAAGAAGAAGAGGAGGAGCTGTTTAGGTGGTGACAGTCATCAGTCTCCAGTCTGAATCCTGTGTCTGTGTATCACCACACACAGGTCCTGTAAATACATTGTAAATAAAGAAGTAATTTAGCAATTTCAAATAAGTCTGAATGTTTTTGTTTTTTAATACAGATTGTTTAGAATCCAGAGCAACACATGGCAAATAAGCTCTGCCCATATTTTTGGGAGACTTTTTATTATTTTCCCTCAACTTTTCAAATTGAAATTGACTACAAACTCACCTACACACTGTATTTGACCACTTCATACTTTTCATCTAGCGAGCTTTTCATATAGCTAACTCTAAGTGTTCAGTTAGTCTGTCCCAGGGCAACTGTGGCTACAGACGCCTTCCGCCACCTAAGTGCAGGAAGCTGTATTTGTTTCCATGTGTCACTCTGCATCGTGGATCTGCTTCAAAAGGTCCATGTGAGTTTAGAACAAGGATGGGCAAACGTTTTGACTCGTGGGTCACAAAGGTTCTAAAATTTGACAGAAGGGCCGGACCAGGAGCTGATTTTTTGTTAATCCACCTCATAAAAGAAAAAAAAAAAAAAAAAAACTATGGCTAGGCTATGTCGAAAACATATCCCATGTTATTGAAATATCCCATAATTGGAAATCATTACAACAAAATATGTGTCTTTCAAGTGTCACGGTATTTACTATTTACTGAAATGACTTTTAAAACACTGAAAATGATGATTATTATTACTTATAATTCAAGTTGGGAGGGCCGGATTAAAAAGATTAAAGGGCTGCATATGGCCCCCGGGCCGTAGTTTGCCCACCCCTGGGTTAGAAAGTATGGCTTGTCCTCATAGCAAAAATATGACAATAACTGACAATGATTAATATAAAAAGTTCTCCCCGTTAGCAGCGCATTACATACGTCACCACCAAATAGCAGCAACTGGTTCATTTAAAAAAAGTACCATCCTACCAATCAGAACTCTTGCCCTTAGGGCAAATTATGAAATGTGTCTGTCATTTTCAATAATGTATATATAAATATAAATATATAAGTTATTTTAAATTTAATACAATTTTTGTCCTCTCTGGTGGGTGGAGAGTCCGTGCCTGAAGTGGAGGAGTTCAAGTATCTCAGGGTCTAGTT